AATATGGCGTCGAAATTTTATAATTTGTTCCTTTGCACCAAAAACTTATCAGTGGGGTTTTCAAAATGGCAAATTTCAAATCTGATATCAGATTTTTGAAATTCAAAACGGTGAATCCAATATGCCGTTATCGGATGCGGAGCTAAATAATTCAAGTTTAAAATAGCAGACCACAATTTTGCTAAATATTTGTTTTTTAATCATACGTGCTTCAAACTTGTCCCTTTTGTGTATAAGTATCACGTGTATTTGTATTTGTATGAATTTGTACTTATTTATTTGTAAAAACTCTAGTACATTAAGTATATTACTTATAATTAGGTAAGGAATAAAGTTAAAGAAAAAAAAATAACGTACAAGTGTGAAAAAAAATGCAAAAATGTATTTTTCACCTATGTACTTGCATATCAATTTTGCTCTTTCCTTTTTTCCTTGTAGGTGCCATATACTTCGAGGAGCAACCTGTTAATAATATTTTGCGGCAAAAGTTTCAAACATCGGTTCTTTTGCATCTATGTTGACTGCTTCTTTTCAATAATCGAAAAGCACGGAAAAAAACCCGAAGAAGTTTTCTAAGAGAAAAGCTTATTAATCAAAAATTGCAAGAAATTGCAACATGATTCTCAGCCCACAAACTCTAAATTAAACATTTTCATTGCCCACAAAGCTTGAAAACCACAAATTTGTATAGCTCTATNTGTTTGTTTTTTAAGTTTGCCTGATATTTTTTAGCTTAAAATTTGTATGGAGTGGTGAGCGGCAAACGTTATGTGCGCTCATGAATAGTTGTCGATTAAATCAAAATTACTTGTTTTTAAATGGAAATTGGCGAAGCCTGGTTTTTTACACGTTAAGCGTAGATGTGTGTATGCATATGCTTGTAAAAAGCACGCCTAATAAATAATAATAATAATATTGGCGCTTAAACTTTTGCCGAGCTTCTATTCCAATTTGTGGTTCATACCGCCTCCGAATGGCAAATGGATTTTATGAGAAGCTTTTTCACTGGAGAAATACACTCGTAGATTTACGATTGCCTGCCGATGGGCGACCGCTGTTAAGAAAGAATATTTTTCTATATTTTTTTTTTGCGATGTTGCTTTGACCAGGGCTTGAACCCAGGCCCTTCGGAGTAATAGAACGCACCTCTAACCACTCGGCTACAAAATATTGTAACCGGCAATTTTCGGATCTTTTCCAGGCAGTGGTTTTAGTGCTCTTGAAGTGATTTTTCCCGTGTTTTACTTTTCGGGATATTTCGGAATTTTTGTGAATAATCTAAATCTATTTCTAAAGGTATGAGTTAATTAGTTTTCAGTTTCTTCGTTTCAAAAACGGCTTCTCTAACCCAAACTTTTAGTTGTCGTATTGAACTGAAATGCAAAATTTGTTCCTTTTAATAAATTTTATACGTCTTAGATTGAAATATTTAGCTTACTTGTGGATTTGGGGCGATTTTTCTCGCAGTCGTTTCTTGCACTACTCTTTTAAGTAAAAACCAATTTAAAACATAACTGTTAGTATTGGAAGGAAGAAGTGTTATTAAAAATATTAAAATTTACATATGACCATTCTTTTATGTACAACTTATGATTTGTGAGTGTGATGAGTAAACTACATATATTAAATTATTTATAGCCAATTCTAAGTGCCAATTATTCAGCAGTTATCAACGCTACGAAAATTTTATATACAACTGCCTCGAAAATCCCGGTTAGTGTTTTTAAACTACAGCCAAAAAAATACGATTACAAAAATACGGTATACAGCCAACGTTGTTTGTTGTTGTAAGTTTCAAAAACTACATTAAAAATAGTAAAGTCGATTAGGGAAAACAAATTCCACCAAAGCCGCAATTGCTGTAGCTGCAGTAGTAGTAGTAAATAGAAGCAGCAGAGTTTAAGCCAAAGCGCGCTGCAGCTGTGTGCATTTTGTGAGCGTGAGGAGGGTTATAAACCAAGTAATAGTAGTAGTAATTTTTGTTGTTGATAAGCTAGGTAGAAAATCCCAAACCAACTCTGACTACGTGCAGCTTTCATTCGGCATTTGGCTTAAATTTTTTCCCATTTCATTTGACACATGCGCCGATGCCCTTCCTTGACTACTTACAGCTGCTGTTGCAGCTCCTGCGCAGCTATTGCTGTGTTGCAGTTGTTGTTGCTGCTGCTGGTGTTGCTGCAATTGCTGCACGATGTTGGGGCGCTGCGATAGCGGGAATGCCGCCGTCATATTATCGCGATGTATAGGTGTGCAGGTGGACACGAGCGGATAGTTGAGCAGAGTGTCGATGCTGTTGGGCGGCGGTCGCGGACCAACACCACCACCTCCACCACCTTGGCCAGCCACGTTCAAATTCGAGAAACTGCCTCTATGCGCTGATGCTGACTCTTCCAGCATGCCGGGTTGACGCGGCGGCAGCGGCGGTGGTACGCAATCAGTTTCGCAGTTGCTGCCATCAGCTGCCGCACCGCCGGCCGCGTTGGCGCCCACTGACGTCTCCATTTGTAGGAACATTTGCGTTGACATCTTTGGATCGGAGAGCGCTTTCGTCTTGGCTTTAGAGCGTTTCTTTTGTGATGAGGATGCCGCGGCTGCGCTGCTTTGCGCAGACGCACTCGGCGGTGGCGGCAAAGTTGGTTGCGGCGATTTACCTTGCGGACTGCCAGCCAAGTCTAGATCGGAAATGGGTGCAAATAGAGACGCACTGTTGCTGCAGCTGCTATTGCTCATTACGCCCGCCGCGTTGTTGCCGTTATTGTCTAGCTGCAACTGACGCGGCGGATTGCGTTGCGGCAACGGCGGCGGTACATCTTCTTGTATGCTGTGCGTTTTCGCTTGAGCGGCGAATTTATTTTTACTTTTGGAGCTCGACGATTTTGGCGTTTCTTTGAGGCGCGCCTGCAGCTGTTGTTGTTGTTGCTGCTGCTGCTGGTAGAAGAGCGACTGTTGAGCTGAGTTGCGATGCTGTTGTTGTTGTTGTTGCGTTTGTGTTTGCGGTTGATGCAACGATTGTGACATATTGTAGGGCGGCAGCGGTGATGTGGTCGCATTGTTGTTGTTGGCATGGTNGTTGCGTTTGTGTTTGCGGTTGATGCAACGATTGTGACATATTGTAGGGCGGCAGCGGTGATGTGGTCGCATTGTTGTTGTTGGCATGGTGTTGGTGGTGATGATGTAGAAAATCCGTTGTATTATTCAATGGCGCAGTAATTAAATCTTTATCAATTTTATTTTTGCGCGTGCCCAGCGAAAGTGAGGACAGCGAACGGGGTAAGAGTGAGAGGAAGGCAGGAGAGGATTGAACTTGTGGTTGTGGTGTGATGGCCTGATGATGATGTGCTTGTAGATGCTGGTTGTGGTGGTGTTGGTGGGAGGAGGACACAGATAAATGGTGTATTTGCGTAGGCGAGAGGATTGCGGTATTTTTATTGTTGTTGGCAGTTGGTTGCAATTTGATTGTTGGTGCATCCTGTTGAAAGTGGTGAGACAGTAGAGACAGGCTGTAGTTGCAGTTGTTTTGTTTTCTTTTCTTTTTTTGAGGTTGTTGGAAAAGTTTAAAGAATTTGATTGCGAGATAGTATTTAAAGTCGCAAATATGTAGGTGTTGAAGGTTAAGTGAGAACGATAGGAATTAAACAAAGCTATGTTCTTTATTATAGTATATATATTTTGTTGGCGAGTAGATGTATGTGGTAAAAGAATTAGAATTATGCAATAGACACAGGGAGATTGTGTTTGCCCTATGTTTCAATAGAATTCGCATATGTTAATGTTGTCCAAGACTTTTGTCAAACCGGAATGATGTAGGCTGGTATCCTAAACGTATTCATACAAAGCATCCATGCCTTTTATCTATAACCTACACGATGCAGAAATTTTCAGAATGCGCAATAATGGAAGAATAATAATTTTTA